CAAAACCCTGACAGACCCACCTCACCCCCAAGCTCTGCTGCTTTAAGATTCTTTTCCACAGCCAGTTCACCCCTGGTATCCAAGCCATTCTGGTGAAGAAAGTCTCAAAGCACTGGATTACTGGTAAGGTGTGTGAGAGAGGGCGGCTTTTGTTTCTATTCCTTAAAAGTGAACCCCTCCTTAATAACGGGGGTTATTTAGAAAACTTTCACCCGTGTCTGGTTTGTTCCTAATAGTCCTAGTGAAAACAATTGCCCTGTTGTGGTTTATCTATATGACCTGTATCACTTTCTCAGCATACCTTCAGTGCCCCAGGGGAATCACACACCAGGCTGAGCAACAACCATCCTTTTCATGCTAGGGAGCTCAAGATAAGCAGTTGTTCAGATCCTGTCTTCCATTCCTGTAACCTGAGTAGAGATATGGTTTAAATGTTGGAAACACTTGATAGCAATCTACACTTACCCCTTGAAGCTTAGCGTTTGGTTGTTCCAAAGGCATCCATTGACCCTTTAAGAACACATCAACAAAGCAAAACACTCACTTAATGCAAGAAGAAAAAACCAACCTACAATCATTTTAGGTAAGAAAAATAGAACAACTTCCATCCTTTTTCTTACATTCATCTAGATTAATGCCATTCATGGCACTAATTGTTGGACCCTTCCATCCTACATCTTCATGATAGCTGATGTAAAAGGATTACACACAATCTTTATGTGATGTTTATCATCTGTATAATCCAGGGGTCCAGATGTTATTGAACTCCAACCCACATCTGCTCCTGCCAGCATTTTCAATGATGAGAGCTGAGAGTTGTAGTTGAACAACATCAGGAGGACAACCCCCGGTAGAATCCACCGGGAAAATAATTCCTGTTGTTGCTTTTTGTTCTCTTGCTCTGCAGGTGTTCTTTTTTAATGTCTGGACACATTTTTCACTTTGATGTTTGTGGGGGAAATGAGCCCCCTTTCTGTCAGTTTGTCTTCAGTTTGCATTATATCAGGCAGAATTAAGTGCTATCTAAAAATTGTTACCTTGACAGGCCCGTAGGCTCCTCTGCTTTTATAATAGCAGCATGAATTTCCCACCAAGGAGTCTCAACTTGACCTCTGCCGAAAGTTTTAAAGCCCTTGTCGTTTTTGAAGAGTTTGAGATATAGCCTTGAAAATGGATGGAATGTAATAGCAAGGTCAGCAGCATCCCTGATAAATGGGTCAGGCACCGAAGCCCCATACACTGTCTTGCCGCTGGACTGTTGATGCAATCCTTTCATCCACACAACCCCGAAAATGCACACACACAGATTCAGCAGATCTGATACTACAGCAAGACCTCAGAAATGTCTAAATTACATAGCCTGGGATTCCAGATTACTCGAGCAACATGGAATGCTGAAATGACACATACTACCTCATATCCAAGCTACCCAGCCTCTCTTGTCTGTAGCCAAAAAGAAGTGGGTAGAACCTGTATCCAGTGAAGATCTACAGTAACAGTAAGCCCTGTGTGTAAACCAGGGATGGGAAACCAATTTCCTTCCACAAGTTGTTAGGTGCCAATTCCCACCAGCCCTGGTCACCATGGCCAGGGATGATAGGCTTTTATTCAGCCGGAACTCATCGGAACCCAGTTCCGGTGCCTCTCGGGTGCTGTTGTCATTATAAGAGAACAATGGAGGCGTTCATTGTGGGTTCAACATCTGTTGCCATAGTGCAACAACATCTGGAGGACCTAGATGTAAATTAAATAGTTCAATTGACGATGCCACCTGGAGTGTTCACGGTAAGGCAAGGCTTACATAAAAACAAAAACAGGAGAGCAGTTTGGTTCTCATCCATCCCCAGTGCAGGTCCCATATTGCAAAGAAGATGTGTAAAAGTTCTGAATACAATTAAGCATTGTCTGTATCACTCTGCAGATACTTTTGGTTTGAAATGCACAGGAATACTTCCATTTTACAAGTCTGGAAATACAGATGTTACATCTCGATGCTTGAGTTATGCAATTCCTTGGGCGGCGGAGACAGCAGAATTGCACAGATAAACAACTGCTTCTCCCAAGGGGCCCTTGGAAAGTACTGGCCCTAATGCTTTGCTAAAAGCACTTGAAAATGTGTGTGTTTTGGGGGGAGGGTTGATAGGAAACTACTTAGACTTAATTTGACAAAATCATCCACTGAAAGAGCAAGGGGAAGGGCAGAAGAAATCCAAATGGAAAATATACCTTATTTCAGTTTGGTAGAAGAGCAGCTCCCAGATAATTCCAATGTGTATATGTTTGATCCAGAGTTGATGGCAATTACATGAAATAAACAACTCCAAAAATGGCAAACAGTAATACGTACATAGAATAAGAGGCAATCTATCAGAAGAGAAAAGGAAGAGGATTTGGGGTTCTGAAGTTCTACTATGAAGCCAGTCAATTTTGTGAATGGCTGTGCTCTCCCTTGAAATCTCAGATTACTTTTATTCATTAGAAATGCAAAATAGTTAGCAATAAGGGTGATAGGTCTGGAATGTGATTCCATTTTTGCCTGGTGCTCTGAGAAAAGTGCATATCAGGAAGTGCAACATCCATGTTGGTGAAACTCAGTGTCTGAGAGGCTAACAAAATCACCTTGTTTTATTGCTTCTTGGGCCTGGCATTTATCCAGAGAATGAGCCCACAAAAGTATTCACATTTGTGGTTAAACATATGTTAAAAAGGGTTAAATTATGTTGGCTTGCAGGCATGGGGTAGCTTTCATGTGTGGGGCTAGAGGCAAAAGTGGAAAGAGCAACAACTGTGAATTTCACCTTTGTACAGCATCTAGTTTCTACGTATATATTCTTCCACATCCGTCTCTCTTGTCTTTCATCCCAGCAAGGAAGAAGCGTGATCAGAGATCAAGGACACATTCCAGCCGAGCAAATCCACTGAATAAGAATGCAGAGGTGGCAAGAGGTGTGGTTATGGGAGGGGTGTGTCTTGGGGAAAGTTCCATGGAACTTTCCATAGAAAGGCCGGGCAGGTTAAATTTGGTCCCCAACTCTGAGGTATCCCCAGGCTTAGAGAGGTACCATATTCACTGGATCCTGCCTTCCATCAACAGTCTAGCAGTGCTAGCTGACATCCAAGCCAGCTGACAATCCAAGACATGCCCATAGCAGCCCAGTTACCATATATCATACAATCACATCTTTCCCCCCAGGGCTCCAATCTACCACCTCCAACATTTGTGCCATGTCAAGTTCTCCCAGCCACTAATCAGGCAGCTCCCATTGTCCCAGTTACCTGCCAGCAGTCTGGAGGAGGTGAAGCCAGGCAGACAAGTGAGAAAGCAGGAAATCCAGTGACCTGGGAAGCAGATCAGCAAGTAAGAGCCGTCTGACGGCAAGTGGTCCCTGATCCAAGGACTGAGGGCAGATAACTGGTTTTCAGCCTTGCGATATTATCACCAGCTAAACATCACAATATATTGATATATCACAATGTCTGGAATCAGGATGGAACTATGCAGAGGTAAACAGAGAATAAGGGGCTCTGGGTCCAGGTCCATGGTTCGAGACTCTCTGGGCTTTAAGATAGAACAATCTTTCCTCATATCCTCCTCCTCGTGCCTTCAGAGGAGGCTTTCCTGTGTATTCCATCATTAAGAACATTAGAAGAGCTCTGTTGCAGGATCAGGCCCACCTGGTCCAGCACTGTGTTCTCACAGCAGCCAGCCAGATGCCTATGGGAAGTGCAGAAGCAGGACCTTAGCTAGAGTTGAAATGACGTGGGAGCTCCCTTGATCAGCAGGCAGGCAGTTTTTCTGAAGCCACTTGGCCCGTAAACTTCTTTTTCAAAGAAAGAAAGCTGAATATGACACCACTTTAATAAACCAATGTTCCGCTTTGGAGAGCCAGATTCCATTTTCCTGAGCATGACTGCTGAGATGCAGATTTCTAGTGTTCCCTCTGCAATAAATGACTCAGTTACTATTGGCTGCTAATCAAGATTAGTTTTGTCATTGCAAAAGTGGACTGTGTCTTAGTCAACGGAGGAGAAAGGACATGCTTCTCAGATGTGCTCCACTTATGTGTCAATAGTTCAACCCTTGCAAATATGTTTAGCCCAATGCGTGCCTTGAACTCTGCATATTTATCGGCATCTGTTTTGTGCAACTTCATATGTATGTCATTTCCAACCACAACCCTTGCACTTATACAAAGGAGGATGACAGTCATATTCACCCACATACCATTCAGCTCTGTGGGTGGCCTTGGATAAAACCACCCTTCCTTAGCTTAAATGTTATATATCCAAGTGTGGTTGTGAGTTAACAGTTGCTAGGCACACTGGGGACAGTTTATTTGTCCATGTAACTTATTGTTCCCATATTACCCCCTCCCCATTTTTAATCCAGATTTAGTGTTTTTGCTGGAGTTTTCTTTTGTTGCTGTATCCATGCAAATGGTAGATCCGGATTAACCAGGGAAATGATATGAGATAGCATTTTATTTATTATGTATATATTTCTAAAAATACTTGTATACCGTTGTGCCATAAAAAATATATCAAACGGCCAGCAGCAATAAAAACATAAAACTGTACAATAAAAACTGTAAGCAAGTTAAAAGCAGACATAAATTAACTATTGCAGTATTATTAATTCTCTGCAGAGGCCCCGTAGAATATAAAAGTTTTCAGCAGGCATTTAAAAGTTGACACAGAAGGAGCCCACTGAATTTCTACTGGCAGGGTATTCCATAGGACTGGGCTGATGACACTAAAGGCCCAACTTCTTCCAGACCCTCCAAGTGTCCCTATGAGAGTGTTGAGCCAAGCATGCAATTCCCATGTCTCTCTAGTCTAGGCAAAGGTAGGGGTGGACGATGTGGTCCTTTTCGAGATGCTATGGACTCCCATCAGCCCTAACCATCATGGTCAGTCATAGAACCATAGAATTGTAGAGCTGGAAGGAGCCACAAAGGTAATCTAGGCCAACCTCCTGCAATGCAGGAATTTATTTTTTTTGCCCAATGCGGGGCTCAAACCCATGACACTGAGATTAACAATCTCACGCTCTACCAACTGAGCTATCCATGGTGGTTCATGGTGGGCATGATGGAAGCTGCAGTCCACAACATCTGCAGGGCACCTTGTTGGCCACCCCTGGAAAAGGCCATTTCTTCCCCAAACACAGAAATGTCCTTGGCCCTTAACTGCATGAGAAAACAGTGATTATATCATAACACGTGGCATTTAAGGCCTTAGGAAAATAGCCCGAGGCAAGGGGGATGAAATGATATCATAAATTATTGCAAGAGGTGGCATTGCACAGGCCTATAAAGGAGAGCAGTAATGCTCTCGGAATTGTGACTGTGCCGTAAACATTTCTGAATTTGCCATTGTAATTTCCAGCCCTCCATCTCGAGTACCTGCCAAGGTTGTCTACTGTGCATCATTTATTAGCAGGATGGAACTGGAGGAGCACTGGTCATGTCAGAACAATAAAGGGCAACAGGAGTGCAAATGAAGCAAAAGTTCTCTCTGCCTGCCTTTGGCTGTATATATATCTCCAACTGCATTTTCTTTATTACCATGAGTCTCAGTCCAGCAGCTACAGTTTGTGGACTGTGCTGCACATGTGGGCTGCCACAGTCACTTCAATGGCCTACTGATGTGCTGCCCTGGGGGGGCTTAAACCAAACTTGATCCTCAATTAAAACCATGTCGAGCTTTAATTCTTACTATTCTGCCGCATCCCCTCACCAGAGCAAAACCTGAAGCGCTATTGGGAAATCTAAGTAGACCCTGGACCAGAACTGGCAGTGGGGGAATGCAGTGGGGAGTCACCCAGAAAGAAATAGGGTTTTGGTTTAGAACAGCCCTCAAGAAGTTGTTGGACTATTGCTGTGGACGTACACCTTCCATTTTAAGCATATTTATTCATTTGACAAAATATATATACCACTTGATTGTAAAAAAAATGACAAACTCTGGTTCACAATATAAATGACATTGACAATGGTTAATTTAAAAAAAAAGTTTTAAAATGTATTAAAAATATTCAAAAGATGATCACAATGATTAAAAGATTAAAACCCATCAACATCTATGTGTTTGGATGGGCTTAAAGCCCATACTTCTTCCAATTAATCCTGGGAATTGATGTGTACGCCTCACAGAGCCATAATTCCCAGCACCCTTAGCAAACAATAGTTCCCAGCATCATTTGAGGGAAGTCATGTGCTTTAAATGTTTTACCTGAGTGCTGCAGGTTAGCTATCCCAGGTTTCGAATAAGAGCTTTGCTTTAAACAGTGATATTTTCAATGGTCCTAACCTGAATGAATCACGGGGATAGTCCTTATCTTCATATGTACTTCAAGGGTAAAATGAACAGACAGGTGGAGGGAGCAACATACCAGTAACAGGCCCCACCTCTGCCATGTTTGATCATTTCACCCTAGATCACAGACTCTCCAGGTGTCCCTATTTTCCAGGGATGTCCCTGATTTAGAGAAGCCGTCCCGGTTTCTGATTTGATTTCACTTTTCCTTAGGATGTCCCTATTTTCATTGGAGAAATGTTGGCGGGTATGGAATTATCAGACCTCCAAGCCATCTGAAGGCAATCCTGTATAGGGAATTTTTAAAAAATGTTTAATGTGTTATTATGTTTTTATATGTGTTGGAAGCTGCCCAGAGTGGCTGGGGCAACCCAGTAAGATGTGTGGGGTATGAATAATAAAATTATCATTATGGAATGGGATGTCCCTATTTTCATCAGAGAAATGTTGGAGGGTATGAGATCAGGGCTTGAGAGTCTGTGGGCTTCTAGATATTTGCAGTTAAACTCCAATTCCCATCAGCCCCTGCCAGCATGACTGGTGGTCAGGGATGATGGGAATTGAAGTCCGGCAACATTAAGGGGGCCACAGGTCCCTTAGCCCTACCCTAGCTGAACTTATGAAAAGCACTAATGTAAGCCTTATGACAGGGTGGTTTTGGTTTCTTCTGAAGACGTTTTGGGTTTATTGTTGCATCTGTCATCTTAGAACACATGAGGTCAGAACATTTGCCCATCCAGTACTGTCTACCATTGACTACCAACATCTCAGGACCAGATCTTTCCCATCCGCTGTTCACCACCATTAAGTAAGAATGCCAGGGAATGAACCAAAGACCTTCAGCAGGCAAATGCATGCATTGGGAACCAGGAAAAAGGGCAGACCGACCTGCTCCTTCAAGCATAAAGATTAGAATCCACTGTAGATTTTAAATACTACTTAAAACACATTTATTTCATTCTTGCTGCATAGTAGTTACCAGTCATGCCTGAAACTTTAGTAGGTAGACCCATATAACTTGCTTCACCACATTTTTTTCATTATTCTTTTTATGTAAATCAGCACTCTAGTGTCAATCACATTTTAAAGTTTTCCCATATGAACTGGAATGGAACAGGTTTCAGAGGTGCACTGAACTGACTGTCGGACTTTTATTAGCTTGAGCTCAAACCAGCCTGGAAGGACACAAAATATGGTCTGGAACTGGCTGTTTTGTTTTGTTTTTAATGAATAACTTAATTTCCTTGTCAAGTCCTCCATCATTAGACACTGTGAGTCTCTGAAAGGATCTCTGTAGTTTGATGTTGCTATTATTACTGCTCCCGGATGCAACACTTCCTCTGCTAATTATATCAAATAATGTTTACCTAGAAAGAGCTGGTTATTATCTCAGGAACTCTCTGAGCAATTACTGTAATCATCCACACAGAAGTTCAGTGGAAGGTCAAATTTATCCCGATAATTTAGAGGCAGTTCTAAAAGATCTTTCTCTCCCTTAATTCTTAGGACTTTTTTGGAAGGAGGGGTCACAATCCTGGTATGGTATGACAGACAGCCAACATGATGACCTCCAAATATTACTGAACTACAAGCAGAAGCGGCCTGCCAGATGGAGTGCAGTCACTATGCTACTTTCCTGGCAGGTGGAGTATAGTTGCTTACCAGGAGGGGGATGGCTGAGGCAGCAGGGAGGTCAGCATGGTGCAAATGCATCCAACATTCCTGCTGGTGTGTTCGCGCCATGCCAACCTCCCCTTGCTCTCCCTCACAGGAAGGAATAGCGACCCACCTGCCGGAAAGCTAGCACAAAGGTTCTGCCCTACCTGGCAAGCCACTTTTGACTACAACTCCCATAATCCCTGGCCGTTGGTAATGCTGGCAGGGCTGTTGGAAGTTGGAGGCCCAACGACATCTTCAGGGCACCATGTTGGCTACCCTGGTGGCAAGGAATGAAATGCTGTTTAAACCAATTGGATTGGTGCCATTGGCAGCAGAAGACTAGGAACAAACTAGCCCATTGGCTCAGGGATATAACAGAGGATGTGCAGGCCCAGCAAAAAGGATCATTGGAGCAAAATATATGACATTTCTCTCCTGACCATCATTTGCAGGGGTAGAGGGCATTCTTCCTCTGCTTTCAGCTTCCTGCTTGTTTGTCAACACAAAGACAAACCTCTCCATGTTTCCTGTCACCCCTCCCAACCTTTTTAGACATTCACAGCCATGTTTTACCATAAAACGGCTGGCGGCTTAGTGAAAAAAAGGCTCTGATTTCTTCAAACCTCAAATTGGCTTTAACTATAGGTTCTGTTTCCCTAAAACACGTTCCTCAGCGGAACTGAATGTTCAGGAGGAAGGGTAATAGAACACAGAGGTTCACCAGCTTTCACTCTCTCATTGCTTGGTAATGACCAAAAATTGTTACTGTCTGACAGGAACCGGTGTTTGGCAGTCTATTCAGGGTTGCTCATCCAGAGAAAAATGGTGTTGTGTGTGACACTATTCATCCTATTAGCATGTTGTCATTTCATTGTAGATATGTCAAAGCCTCTTTTGGCTGCTTCACACTTGCAAAAAAAAAGATAAGAATTGCACATTTTGAAATATAAGACACACCGTCGTGGTCTGAATATTGGATGCACTTTTTCTTCAGATCTGGCTTACATAAAAGCTAAATGTGGCCTGTAATCACACTCTTATAGGTAGAGAAGCTGTGGTTTAATAGGAATCCTCAGGAACCATGTGTAGTTTTTGTAAAAGCGTCACTTGCCCTGCTCAACAGGTAGCACTGTTTGCCCAGGGAGTCAGTGGCAGAACTGGGTACTATGGTACCCTGTGCAAGGCCAACATTTGGCACCCCCTACTCCTGTCCTCATGCTGCCTTCCCAAAGGCAGGTAAGGAGGGGCCTGGCTTTGGGAAGGCGATGAGAGCCTCTAGCAGGGTCCTAGAGCCCTCCCATCTCCTTGCCAAAGCTGGGAAAGTGCTAACTAGGCTTTGGGAAGGAGATAGGAGGACTCTAGGACCTTATCAGAGCCCTCACACCTCTTTCCCAAATCCCAGTGCCTTGCTTACCGGGCTTACCCTTGGCTCAGCACCCAGTGCATGCACACCTCTCGCAGAGCCCTAAATTCGCCCCTGTGGTGAGTTATCCATTGTGAGATGAGTCTAGAGGAGGCACATGTGTTGCTTAGATTCTACTGGATTGTGAAAATTCTAAGTCTTCTGCACAGAGACCATGCCTCTTGTTTTGTATAGCTCCTAGCACCAAAAAATGACAAACAGTAGTGGTACCTTAAGGACCTTTTCTAAATCCAAAAGGCGTCAGGTAAATGCTTTTTATAAATAAATAGTGGTTGTAGTTCAGTATCTGCAGGGCCCTGGTAATTTATTCCTACCTTTTTTTTTTTTTAGAGGAGGATATTTTGCAAAGCTATTTCAGAGTTCACCCTAGTTCATAAATTATCAATATTTTTTTAAAACCCACACATTTTGGCAGAGGAGCCTGCTACTGTGCAGCAAAGGACTGTTAACTTTATGGCACTTGTTTAGTAATGGATTGCTGCTTGCTTTTGAACAAACACGTTTGAGAAATGCACATTATCCAAAAGCTCATTATCTCTCTTGCCACATTTGGAGCTTAGGCACTTTCTTGATACGCCAGGGTTGAGGTCCCATTTTTATAGGAGGTTTTGATGCTTCAGGAAGCAAAACAGCTCAGACAAGGTTTGGGAATTATAGCTAATCAGGATAGCTAT